CTTTCTATTTTTAGTAGAGACAGGGTCTCGCTCTTGCTCAGTCTGGTTTCGAACTCCTGAGCTCAAACAATCCGCCCGCCTCGGCCTACCAGAGTGCTAGGATTACAGGCGTGAGCCACCGCGCCCGGCCTGGGTTTCCATTCTTAAAAGCTTGTGGTGGGGGAAACTCCCCTTTCCTTGGGAGGGGGAGGAAGCACACTCTGTCCCCTTCCTTGGGCAGCTGGGCGTTGGGGGTGATGGCAGCAGATACACACCCCTGTCTCCTCCACTCACGCCTGGTCTGGTCAGAGCCAGGAGGGGCCCTGTGTCATGCACCTCCTGCCTCTGCCTGGGGCTCACTCTGGGGTGAAGTGTCACTCGGGAGATTGTTTTTTTTGAGTGGTTTGAGCCTGACTGGTGCCTGCTCATGGACCCTGCTTCTCAGGGTGGGGTCCCTGCAGCCCAGAGTGTGGCTCTAGAAACCTGGACCAGACACAGAATGGGAACTTGTGACCACACAGCCCCTGGAGGGAGAAGTCCTGCCACCCTTTGCTTTTCTGTGTCATTCTGGCTGTACGTTTCAGATGCTTGGAAAACGTTAACCAGTAGGGCCTAAAAGGGAGGTCGGGGGCTCCCCCAGGAGTGCTCATGAGATGTGGTCCCTGCTCGGAAGCGAGGGATGGATACACAAGGCCACGTGTGATAATGTGTCACACTGTTCAGTGTCAGACCGTGGCTCCCTGACCTGGCTTCATGCCAGAATCCCCTGGGGAAGTTTCTAGTGCAAATCTCAGGACCCACCCAAATGTATTTTTAACAAGACCCCCTAAGGTGCTGCCTGTTCACCCAGCCCAGCCAGTGGTCTCAGCTGCATGCGGGAACCGCTGATGGAGAGCGTGTGCCCACCAAAAAGGGGGAGACAGAGCCTCCACAGTCAGGGGCATGTGGCTTGGCCATGAAGGTAGGGTGTTTCATAGCAGCCCAGACTGTGTTTGGCTGACACTGAATAGCAAGTTCCTGCAGCCCAGCTGCTGGGACAGCGCTCTGTGGGGTAGATGTTAGAGGGTCACAGAGGGGCTTCCTCCTGGCCCCCTCACCAGCTGCGTGGTTTAGGGCTTATGTCTGGGTCCTTGCGGGCCTGACTTGAAGCCCTGGTACTGGCCTGGCCTGGAGGCTTCTCCTGCCCCAAGCCAGTCCACGGTGCATAGAGAGAAAACAGTGTCCACGATCCCACGCGACAGCTCTGATGCCATGCCCCTGAGAAGCTGCTGCTGAACTCGGGTCCTAGACCGACCGCTCACCCTCCACTGAGTTTTGTGTAGCTCCTGTGGCGACAGGGAGCAGGATGGAGAAAGGCCGATGGCACCCTGAGGTTCCAGGGGTTGCTAGCAGGTCCTCTCCTTACTCTGGACTCTCGGCCTGTAGATGGAGGTGCCGGCCACAGTCAGGCTCTGACGTGCACGTGGAGAAGTAGCGGGTGTTGGCTCCTGCCCAGTGGAGCCTCTGCACAGACTGAGGGCCTCTGCTAATCATGAGTCTTTACTTTCAGTTGGACCCCCAGGCCTTGCAGGACAGAGACTGGCAACGCACCGTCATCGCCATGAATGGGGTATGTGCCCATGGGGCCCTCTAGGCGCCTGCTTCCCCCAGTGGGTCAGGCCGGCCCCTGTTCCCTCTGAAACAGTCAGAAGGCAGCTAAGCCTGAGCGAGTCTCTGAGAGCCGGTCTCTGGCTAGACGAGGGAAGGCTCCCTGCACGGCAGAGTCGCTGTGCACAGGAAAGGAATCTTCCATTCGGTGGCTGGAGTGCAGTCCCCAGCCAGGCCCTGAGACTCCCTCCTTGAACAGAGATCTTATGGCACCGCGAGGACAGGTAGGGTCTCGACCTGGTGCTCTCGGGGCTACCCACAGGGACAGAGACCCTTGATTCATCTTCAGCTATCCGAGAAAGGTGTAGACCTTTAAAAACATAACCACACACCAAAAAAGGCCTGGGCAGATAGGATGAAATGTTAACAATTGGTAGTTCTTGGCTTTTTGTTATGTCATTCTCTGTATGTTCTCTCCTCTTAATTTTTAAATTGCTATTAAGAAAGAGCAACAGGAATCATAGGAGGATGTTCTGCAGAAGCAGGTCCTTAAACCTTCCTGTCCTTACCTGGCTTTTGCTGAGAGGCAGCCCCTCCTCACGCTGGGACCGAGACCCGCTTGCCCTGGGGGTGGACAGACTTGCCAGGGGCTCCTGTGACCTTGGGCTGTGAGGACCAGGAGGGTGAGAGGGCCGTGCCCCTTCTTCCCACTGCAGATCGAGGTGAAACTCTCTGTCAAGTTCACCAGCAGGGAGTTCAGCTTGAAGAGAATGCCTTCCCGAAAACAGACAGGGGTCTTCGGGGTCAAGATTGCTGTGGTCACCAAGTAAGTGGCAAGGGGCTTGGGCGCGTGTGTCCCAGGGGCACCTGTCCTCCACGTGTTTCTGCAGGAAAGAGCAGGCGTGGTTCCCTCCTCTCTGTGCAAGGTTGCTGCACAGGGAGGCCAGGCCAGGGGCGCTGGCTGTGCCTGGCACCTCCTGTGTTTACTGCAGAACCAGCTCAGGGAAGTCCCTGCCCCCTTCCTTGGGAGCAGCAGGCCGGCCCCTGCACGACTCCAGGAACTGCCCAGAGCAGGGTTTTCTTCCCTTGCTTGGAACTTGTCACAGTCCTGGGTTCCTGTTGAAGAACTGTAACCCCTGCCCCTTTGTCACAAGGCAGTTGCCAGAAGCCCGTGTCTCATTTGAGGGCGGCTCTCTCGGACACAGCCGCTTCCTGCCAGAATTCATGTGCTTCCCCAGGATAGGACTGAGCCAAGCCCCTGACCGCGCTGGTCATCTGGGCCGGCGGGGCCTACGTCGGTTGTTCCCTGGACGCCTGCTTGTCTCTAAACACCACTCCCTGCCCCCAGCTGCACCCGGGCCCTCCGCAGTGCTCTGGGAAGGCTCCAGGTGCCAGCAGAGAGGACCCGTTGGCAGCTACCCAACATGAGCACAGGCGGATGAGGGTGGTTTGGGAAAGAGCTTTGAGGTGCTCCTAAACCAGCTACAAAACAAACTAAAGTTGAGGCCTCAAACAGCACTGTCCGCTGTCTGCGAAGTATTCCTAGCCCAGCGTCCCACACTGAGGTATTGGGACTACCCGTTGCCAAGACTCAGAGACGGAAAGCAGCGGAATGTCAGGCAGCCCTGCGCAGTCGCACACTCAGCGATGTGTGTGGAGGGCCCGGGCTGGGGGCAGTCAGGGGAGTCGCCTCTCCCACGGCAAGCAGCTGTAGGGCCAGGACCGGTACCGATCTCCCGACTCAGAGATGCCATCCAGGACGTCGTGTGGCCGCTTGTCAGCCCGAGGCCTGGGATCTTTTAAATGCCCTTCCTGTGGCCAACTTCTCTCAGAGAAGCCTCCAGACCTTCCCCCAAAGATCAGGTGTGACTTGCAGGGTGTCTGGCTGCTTCGGCCTCTTAGGTGGCCCTGATGAGATCCGTGCAGTGGTAACTGTGAGTGTGAAGAAGGGAGGGGACACGTGTTAAAGGCTCTGTGTGCAGCCCCAAACCTGGGCACCCTCGTCACCGTCCTCATCCCGCCTCCAGGTGTGCAGACAGGCGGCAGGTCCCCCATGCTGCGGCCTGAGCGGGGCTGCCGGGGCACTGAGGACGCTCCCCTCCCCCACAGGAGAGAGAGGTCCAAAGTGCCCTACGTCGTGCGACAGTGCGTGGAGGAGATCGAGCGCCGAGGCATGGAGGAGGTGGGCATCTACCGCGTGTCCGGAGTGGCCACGGACATCCAGGCGCTGAAGGCAGCCTTCGACGTCAGTGAGTGTCAGCCTGGGCAGTGTGGGATGGGGGCTGGGTGGGGGTGTCGGTGCTGAGACTCTGGGAGCACCCTGTGTGGCCCGGCCCTGTCATACCATTCTCTGGGCCTTTACTTACTGATTTATTATTTGAAAAAATGAGAAGACGAGTCGTGGGAGGAGCTTCTGCAGGGGCCAGTCCTTAAACCATCCTAGCCACAAGTGCCGCTTGCTAGGTCGGACCAAGGACTTCTGCGGGACCTCGGTCTGCCTGTGTTGGGGGTGGACAAGAGGTGCCGAAGGTCAGGGGTCAGTGCAGCTTGAGCACTGGCCTGCTTGAGAATGCGGCGGGGCAAAGGGCACTGGCGTGACCCAGCTCCTGCGGTGCCGCGGCGTCTCCACCTCCGTCTCGCCGACCCTTGCGCTGCAAAGGAGGTGGAGCTGCCCCAGATGGCAGGGTGGGCTCCAGGACACCTGAGGGTCCTTGCGCAGCATCTTCACAGTGACAGGTGGCAGAACCAGGACTTTGTGCCTGCAGACCTTTCCACGGGGCACACACCACTCACCCTGACCAGGACCCCTGGATGGGCCCTGCTGTACTTCTAGCTCCCTCTGGGCAACCAGAGTGGACCAGGCCTGTGACACAGAGGACCAGTGGCACCAGTTCAAACACTGAAACAGCTCAGCTAATCCCAGTGCCTTCCTGCTTTCAGAAGACACTGGCACCCGGGCAGTCGCTACATACGGGGCAGAGCCAGCTGATTCCCAGCCAGGCGCTATGTCCTGCCCCACTGGCCGCCCCTGGCCAGCGCATCTGGCTCTGCGGCCAGGCTGCTCCTGGCCGAACAGGGGAGAGGTGTGGGGTGCAGACGCCTCCCTGTCAGCCCTGCACAGGTGCAGAACCGCGCACGGATGTTTGGGAGGAGTAAGATGAGCCACTCAAAGGGGAGGAACCCACAGAGCCATCAGCGTGGCAAGGACAGTGCGTTAGCCAAGGCAGGGACTGCAGAAGCCCCTGCTCAGGATCCATTTCCACGCTCTTCCCAGATAACAAGGACGTGTCGGTGATGATGAGCGAGATGGACGTGAACGCCATCGCCGGCACCCTGAAGCTCTACTTCCGCGAGCTGCCCGAGCCCCTCTTCACCGACGAGTTCTACCCCAACTTCGCTGAGGGCATCGGTGAGCATCTCCCCACCTCCCCTCCTGTCTGCTGCTGCCCTTGGAGGCTGTTGTCAAAGGCAGGGTGTGGGAACCCAAGCCATGCCCCGCTGCCAGGTCCAAGTTTCAACCCAGCCTGAAAAAGCTGGCCGTGTGTGACACGGGGATGAGAACTGAGCCTGCCTGCAAGGCCTTGCCCATCCCCAGAGGGCTGCCCGCTGTCCCTGTCCGCAAGTAGACCGAGAGAGTGAAGCCTGAGGCTCTCATCCCAGGTCCTGGCCCCGTCAAGTGTAGGGTCAAACCCAGCCTGACCCTAAGTCAGCCTGGAGGGTGATGTCCAAAGGGGGGTGCTGGCATAGGAGGCAACTGCAGCCTCTGTGTCACCCTTAGAGCGAGTCTGCCTGCTGCTCCTGAAGTCCCTCCCACCCTCCTTGTCCCTCACTCCACCTGCCTGTTTCCACGAGGGACTTCTCCTGCCCTGGGCTCTTCCGAGGGGGCGGTGGTGGAAGGAACTGGCTGAGTCAGCCCCGAGGGCAGCTCTGCCCACAAGCAGCCACTCTCACGGCCCCTCCTGCTGCTGGTCCCCGGGTGCCGTTGACCCCCGCTTTTTTTTTTTTTTTTTTTTTTGAGACAGAGTCTCACTGTGTTGCCTGGGCCAGAGTGCCGTGACATCAGCCTAGCTCACAGCAACCTCAGACTCCTGGGCTCAAGCAATCCTTCTGCCTCAGCCTCCCCAGTAGCTGGGACTACAGGCATGCGCCACCATGCCCGACTAATTTTTTCTATATATTTTTAGTTGTCTGATTAATTTTTTTTCTATTTTTAGTAGAGACAGGGGTCTCGCTCTTGCTCAGGCTGGTCTCGAACTCCTGAGCTCAAACAATCCGTCTGTCTCGGCCTCCCAGAGTGCTAGGATTACAGGCGTGAGCCACCACGCCTGGCCCCATTGACCCCTTTGAGCGAGAGCAAAGGCGTTCAGGCGGCTCACCCCACATAGGCACCCATTACAGGTTCTCCACTGGGGGCCAGACTGCTGTGTGAGCAGGGACGATGACAGGCTCGGGCTCGCCAGGGCCTGTGACACGGTGTAGGCTGCTCTGTCCAGCCACCCTCAGGAGGTGTTCAGCCCGTTGCTGTGACCCTGAGGAGTAACTCCCCACCTTCTGCAGCTCTTTCAGACCCTGTTGCAAAGGAGAGCTGTATGCTCAACCTGCTGCTGTCCCTGCCAGAGGCCAACCTGCTCACCTTCCTCTTCCTTCTGGACCATCTGAAAAGGTAGCCGTGGCTCTTGCGCAGGGGCCCAGGGCTCCAGGACCCAAGGCAGCAGGGTGCCCCACTGGCCCCAGCCAGACTCCTCGGCACCCAGGGCCTATTCTCCCCACCCCTGTCTGTAGTTACTGCCTCCGGGGTCCAGCGCCACTTTCACCCATCCCTCCGCTCTCTGCCACCCTCCGCCCCCTGCACCGTGGCCTTAAGCAAAGAGCAGGGAACTTCACCATGGCCAGCAGTACACTTGGACTCCTCTCCTGTGCCCCACCCCAGGTCATGGCTCAGAGCTGACACAGCGCCTGCCAGCCTTGAGCGCCCCTTATCCTGGGCCCCTGGGACCAGAAGAACCTGGGTAGAGTCTGCTTCCAGCACAGCCAGGGTCGAGGTCCCTCCCTCCCGGGTGGCTGTGCTATGGAGTCTACCGCCCATTCCCCGAGGACTCCAGGGCAGCCCTGCCCCTCTGCCTCTGTCCTGGAGGTGGTGCTGAAACAGAACCCTGTGCTTTGCCCCTGCAGGGTGGCAGAAAAGGAGGCAGTGAACAAGATGTCCCTGCACAACCTGGCCACGGTCTTCGGCCCCACGTTGCTGCGGCCCTCGGAGAAGGAGAGCAAGCTCCCTGCCAACCCCAGCCAGCCCATCACCATGACTGACAGCTGGTCCCTGGAGGTCATGTCCCAGGTACGGGAGACAGGCTCTAACCCACGCCACTCTGGCCTGACAGGTGGCCTCTGCCTGCCCCACCCTGAGCCCTGCCGGTCTTCCCACCTGTACAGTATGGGCGGCGGCCAAGAGAGAAGGACTTGCCTAGGTCCACACGGCTGGGAGGAGCAGGGAGGGCCCAGGCCACCTGGTGGTCCTGCTGGAGCCCCTGGCCTCGGGCTTGAAACAGCCGCAAGTCATGCCTCGTAGGGACCCCCCTCCACCCCACTGCAGGATCTCCTGTAGGGGTTCATGTCACCAGCAGGAGCCCTCAGCACCCCGAGCTGGACTTGGGCACTTGGGCCAGGAAGGCCTCCCCACCTGCAGCTGTAAGCAGCGCTCTGAGCCGCTTCCTCTTCCCGGGCAGGTCCAGGTGCTGCTGTACTTCCTGCAACTAGAGGCCATCCCTGCCCCAGACAGCAAGAGACAGAGCATCTTGTTCTCCACCGAAGTCTAAAGGCCCAACTCCACCTCCAAGAGGCTGGCAGAACAGCCTGGAAACCTCTGGCTAAATAGGCCCTCCATTGAGCGGGAACCGAACCTTCTTGAGGTGTAATTGGGCCTCCCCCAAGAGTCTGGGCCATCTGCCAAGAGACAGCTATCTAAAGCAGAAGACCCAGTGGCCTGGGCAGATCCCAGGGCTGGCCTCAGACTGTGGCTTTCCACACTGCCACCAGAGGGCGCCCCAGGCCAGCGTGTCTCCGCTGCGGGCCTGGCCCCTGGGCACGGGGTTGAGAGAGTGATTTTTATGAACTTAACTTATCAGAGTTTAAAAGATTTCTACTGGATCACTTATCAAGATGCACCCTCTCCGGGCAGAAGGGAACACGACCAGATTCCCTCCCTGTTGTGTCTTGAATAAACGCTGCTGCTGCTTCACACCATGGGGGCCACAGCCCTGTCCCTGTGTGGGTGGGGGCCCGTCCTCTCCCCTGACTTGGAGACCCGACTCTGTTTCTAGGGTTGGAGAAGCTAAGTCGACACTGTATAGCGTTTTGACTCCATTCACTGCTTTCTTCTTTTTCTTTCTGGAAGGATTTCTGTGCAGAAATGGGTCTGCTTCTGGCTCTTTCCTGTTGCTCCATTGTTGCTGTTTATATGCGGAAGGCATCTCCGTCTGGGGCAGACATGGCGGGGAGGGCGGCCGGGGCTGCGCACTCTATGTTTGTTGTCCAGGGACGGTGACTGCAGCCACCGATGCGGACTGCCCGCTGGCCCACGCTCTCCTTTTTGGCCTCAAAGGGCCTTGACTCCTCTGGCCTCCCTCTGCCCCCCAAGGCCCTCCCCTCCCCAGGCGCCCCACACAGATCCTTCTTTTCCTTGCTCTCCACTGAACGGACTCGCTCAACTTTTGTAAAAGTTTCCTCTTGGTGGTGGCAGCTTGCTGACAGCTTGTTTTAAAAACTTTGATCCGAAATAGCCTTTTGATATTTGAATATTTTTAAGTTTTATATACATAGTTTCTAATTTTTTTCCTAACAGATCAGATACCTAATAAGATATTAGAATGTACTCCGTGGACAGTCGGTGTCCCGGCAGCATTTCGTCTTCCTCTGCGCACCAGCTGTGTTTTCGCCAGGAGTCGTTTCCAAAGCCTCTGGAACATCGGGAACGTGGGGGGTCAGGAACAGGCCCAGCACAGGGGTGGGGAGGCTCCCGCCCCAGGGCAGGCGGAGGGACAGGCCCCCCCATGCACCTGCGCAGGAGCCAGGGCGCACTCTGCAGCCCCTCCTGACCACCCAGCTTAGGTAAAAGAGAACCAGGGAGGCCGCCAAGTATTTTGAAGCAACAAACCCATGCACATTTGCATCACTTTTTTAAAGGGGGTCCGGCATGGAGAAAGAAGAAAGGAAACAGCTCTTGAGCAGAGTGGAGGTCCCATGCTGGTCTTGCAGGAGGAGAGGATGTAGCTGAGCAGAGAGGGAAGCGTGGCTGGACTCAGGAAAACGCGCATGGGTTGTCTGGGGACAGCACCAGTACCCAGTGTCCCTCGATCCTTCCCGAGGCACAGTGTTGGGGGCTCACACGTGTGTCGATGGGCAGCTCCATGGAGCCTGCGGCACACGGGAGATCATGACAGCTGGGGGCCACACGCCCCCCAACTCTTCCCTCTGCTCGTGGACCTGCTGAGGCAAGGAACGGAAAACAAAGCCACTTGAGGGTTTTACGTCTGTGTGTGTATTGATTTCGTGCTTTTTCTCACAGGGAGAGCAGAGCACCGTCTTAAAGCAGTGCCACCCTCCCGGGCGGTGAGGATAAGAGAATGGAGGCCTCTGCCCTCTCTCTGCACAGGGTCTGGGCCCAGTGGGCTCCTCCAGCCTGGCTTCCCTTCTCTGTCCGTCCCTCCAGCCCTGCGAGGGGAGCACATTTTGCTTAGAAAAGCCAAATCCTGCTCTTGTTTTTGTCTCTTCCGGTGTTTAATGATTTGCATCTGTCGCCTTGAAACTGGAAAGCAATATATCAATGTCTGTGCCAACTTTGCTTCCCTCCCCGACCTCCTTCCACTTTTCACTTTTTATTTATGTAGGATGTATGCCGTTTAATGATGGAATGACCACTCTTTTCTATGTAGTTGTAAAAGTGCCCCTCCGCCACCACGCCACGATGGCAATGGTCACCCCGTCTCCTGCCTCACAGGCCTGTGGGTGGCAAAGCCGGCTCAGGGCTGGAGAACACAGTGTCCTCCAGGAGGGGGACTTGGCTGTCCCCCTGCAGGGCAGGCTGAGGCCTAGAGCCCGGTGTGAGCTCCCCTGAGGCATGGCTGCCGGACTCTTCAACTAGAAGTGATGCTTTCTTGCCGGGAGCCCTGGTTCGGGAGCAGCGAGCTGGGCGCCCTCCCTGGAGGCAGCCCAGCCTTCCCTCGGTGGGTGGCTGGTCTCTTAGCAGCTGGGATCCTGCTTTTGAGCTCAGCCGTCTACGTACCACCACGGGGAGAGGACTGCTGACAATTTCATTAAAGTTACCTGAGACTACTTGCATTAGTGGTGATTTCTGGATTAAAAAGAAAAACCAGGATGGGTGCCGCTGTAAAAAAGCCCTGAACTGGTGGGGCGGGGTTGGGGTGTGCAGTGACAGGGCTGGGAGCCCAAGAGGCCTGCTGCAGAGAAGCCAGGCCTAGTGGGGTCTAGGTGCCACAGACAGATGCCAGCCGAGCAGCATTAGGACACAGAGCAGCAGCAGCGACTCCGCCGAGTGTGGGGCAGTCTGGTTTGGGCAAGGACCACGGCCTTGCTGAGAGGAGGGACAGAGAGCAGATGGGGCAGGCCGGCTGGTGCTCCTTGGCCATGCTGGGCCCAGGGGCAGGGAGGGCTCCAGCCACACACAGCCTGGGCTGTGGCTCCTATCTGCAGCCGCTGCTCTGGCATGAGCCCCCTGGTCTTGGAGGGTTTCTGCTGAGACCGGCGTTTGGTGCTGCAGCGAGGTCTAGCCTTTCTACTGCGTGTGGATGGGACGTGGCATTCTGCTCTACCTCTGGCCTGGACCTCAGAAGCCCACCCAGCCTACAGAGGAGCTGCACCTGCGGTGGGCGTGCGACGTGGGTCCTACCACGAGTGTAGCTTGGGGACAGCCAGGCCACATCCATTCGGCCTTCAGCAGTGCGTGCATCAGCCGTCACCCTGAGGCCCCACAGGGGAGCAAGGCTCACCTGACAGACTGCAAGTGGCCAGTGAGGTAGCCGAAGGGTGGGTGAGCCCGAACTCTTCCTTGAACTCCCAGGAGGTGGTTCTCGTCAGCCGCCTGGTCAGCTCTCTCGGGAGTGAGGGGGGCGTGTCACATGATCTACTACTTGCAACGTGACCCTTCTCAGCTTGTCCGCAAACACCACTGCCCGCGGAGCGTCACTGCAGCCAAGGCCAGGTCGCTGACAGTGGGAGGTTATGGAGGTGTCCTGGGGTGACACAGGGCCGGTGATAGCAGCCCTGAGCTCAGGGTCGCCCTTCGCTGGCCCGAGGCTGACCTAGGGCTCAGCAAGAGGGTGTGCCTCCACCCTCGGGTTCTTCGAGGCCTTGAAGCCCCACAACCCTCACGGGGTTGGCAGTGGGTCCTGCCCTCGTTGGAGGAGCTGCATGGACAACACGCTGTTCTGCCCAGTCTGATGTCTGCCGGCGAGGAAAGGGCTGCCGCTGGCCCCACTCAGTGTCCAGCCCCTAAAAGGTGACGGCACTGTCCCTCCCTACCTTCCTGGGCACAGGGCCGTATCGCAGGTCTCTCGCGAGGAGTTGATTTTTCAGGCAAGAGCTGACTGACTGGGGAGCCCAGGCCCCTGGCAAGGCCCAGGGGAAATGAAGGCACACAAAGCATCCCCACCACACTCGGCGTCCCAGAGTCGATCCAGGGGCAGAGGCTGAGATCCCAGGGTCTTGACTCCTCCCTCCCCAAGCTCAGTCCCTTTATGCTGGGTGACATGGGGCCGGACCTCGCCCACCAGCCGTGGCCAGGACACAGGCACACGGGCCTGGACCTCCTGGTATGTGCCCTGTCTGAATAAAGAGAAGGTAGGATTTCATGTAGAAATCTAGAAGGACTTTTATACTCACCCCCAAAAGAATGCCCTGATTGCCTTAAAAGGACTGACCACGACAGGCTGTCAAAGGTAGTTCTGGAAAGATAAACAGAAAAACTGAGGGGTGACAGATGCTCAGTTTTGAGATCCAAACGGAGCAGCTGCCACGGGTCAGCAGGCAGGCTCACAGGTCACTCGTGGGTGAGGGGGAGCTGCCAGAGCCAGGGCTGGGGCGGGTGGTGGAGCCCAGTCGGCCTGACGAGCGGGAGAGGGATGCCTGCCGAGCGATGGTCAGCTGCCCGGCAGAGCCCTGCGTCACCCGGTTCTCACGGTACGGAGAGGCCAGCGGGGCCGTGACTAGGCAGGCACACACGTAAATGGTTTCCTGGAAGGCAGGGCCCCGCTGCGTTTCTCGCCTCTGGCCAGGTTGGAAAGACCAAGTGCTGTGGGCAACCAAGGCTGCTCTTCCGCGAGCTCCCAAACCAGGTGGTGCCCACGGCCCCAGGCAGGCAGCCTGGCTGGACGTCACATGGCCATGTGTCCCAGGGAAGGCCATTTCAGGGCTTCTGTGGCCAGTTCTCCAACTAGAACAGGGGGACCCAGGGACCCCAGCCCTTCCAAGGCTCAGTCCACACACCAACTATTTTCCCCTCCTGTGGGCAGACTGGGCGGGGCCTTCCAGAAACTCTCACTTGAGAGTTTTCAGTCACTGTCAAAACTGGAGCCAGACAGTGAGGATGTGACATTCAGGTGTCAAAGGGGAACCTGAGGACTGGAGCCAAAACAGGTTCAGGTTCCCGAGTAGCTGCCAGCTAAGCAGCCACTGGAAGAGAAGTCATCAGGATGGCCTGAGGCTCTGGAAAAGCCACATCAGCCCCAGGGACTCCCTCAAGGGTTAGGTGACCTTGGACAGGTGGCCTCCAGACCCCATGGCTCCGGGGCTACCCAGAAGGCAGCAGATGCTACTACTGCTCGTTTACATGTAGCTGCAATTTTAATGGGGTGCAGAGTGCTGCCTCGCGGGGCGCTGCTGTCCCCCTACTCCAGGGTTGCTGTCCCAGGTTCCATCTGTGGCTGCCCAGTGCCTGGCCAGCCCAACCTCCCAGCTCTGCCACTGGGCTCTGGGGCAAAATGGAGCCAGACGGAGGGAGAGACAATGGAGAAAGGGAAATCGTTGCTGTTTCTTTTATTTTCTGAGAACAGTATTTAAAATACCGGAGAGGAGGGGGTGATCAGAAGTTATTTGGGGCTGGGTGCAGTGGCTCACACCTGTAATCCCAGCACTTTCAGAGGCCGAGGAGAGGACTGCTTAAGACGAGGAGTTTGAAACCAGCCTGGGCAACATAGCGAGACCCCATCTCTACAAATA